GCGGTTCACTACTTCAAATACGTTTCGTGCCTCAGATTCCTCTCTTCATAGTTCATTTTATCCTTGAAAATATGTTTAGTAATGCAGTTTAACATCTACTCCTACCCTTTTTCTAAGAAAGATGCCATTTGGTATTATCCATATTTATTGCTCTTCTGCCTCCCCCCTCGCCACACATACTCGCTTACCTCCATCGATACCTTCCACTAACCGCCGCTGTACTCCGTTTCGTCCGAAAGCGCATAAGCATAACATCGATGAATGCACAATGAAATCAGCTGGTCCAGGTGATATCTCACTGATTCAAAACTTGCCGTCATCTTCCATTTGCATCACCATAAATTATTTTCCACAGCGGTGTATTCTAGATGCTGGAAAGCTTTTCGCCGCTTTCCCATTCCAAAAACAGGGACCAACGTGGTGATATCAATTATCCGCAGAAATTCAATGACTGCAGAATAAATCCCATGCTGTGTGCATTCTTCAATAGTGCGTTGACAGGTGTTCTGTTATCACGGCAACCTACTGACTTCGACATTCGATTTTCGATTCACCCAGGTTTGCTGCTATGGCTGGTTGAATCTGATTTTCTGTCATAGCTACAGTAGGTTTGACACGAAATATCAGAACGGGCTACTGGTGGAAGTTTCCGGGTTTTGCCTCTCAAACGGACGTGAAATTTCCTCAATGATTTTTCCATCAATGCGCTTGTTGTAAACGGTTTCCAAGAGGGTTCCACAAGGTTTCATAAAATTTGTATCTTGTACTTTATCTTATTTTCGTCGGTACTTTCTTATCCTAGGCTCCACTATGGTGCCAAGTATACCACTTCTTAATTAACCCCTTATTGCAACCATTGATGTCAATCCCCAATCGCCACCACCTGCACTGTAGATTTGACTGCTTGTGCGTTACCCGATTAGGATACATAAGTGGGCTGAGCAAAACGTTTTCTTATGCACGCAAATTTTTATTTGTTACACAAAAATCAGCATTAGATTTTCTCAAAACATTCTCCACCAGTGTTCATGCACACATCCATGATCTGAAACCACTTGCTCAAACAGCTTGATCATGCCGAAGCGGGTAACCCCTCGGCCAGTTCAATAAAGGCCTCCTCTGTAGCTGTTGGCGACTCGTATCGGATTCCGCGTATCATGCGCTTGACATTTGGGCTTGCAAAAAGTCACATGAAGCCAGCTCTGGACTGTAGGGTGGATGAACAACCTCCTGGATGCATTCTGTAGCCAGAAAATAGCGACCATGTGGGACCTGTGTGTAAGTGCGATGTCATGGTGTATCGCGAGGTCCCTCGTGCTAGAGTCCTTGGACAACGCCTGGCAACAGCTTCCAGCACCTTCGGCAGACAGTGGGCGCCGTACCAGTCTCCGGTGCCTATTCTTTGCTGTACGAGCGGTACAGCAGTACAGGAGCGTTTTTGGCTATGAATACAACCACCATCTGCTTGGCCACACTACATTAGCATTGGAATTTCTGAGGCGGCGCCCCACCAACCGGCATCCACTGAGCCGATTGTTGCTTGGTCTCTGGGTCGATAGTGTACACTCAGGTTTCATCCACACTAATGATCGCCCAAATGCATTGGAGCGTGGAACCAGGCGATTCACCCGAAATTCTTCCTGTTCCTCACTGAGTTGATGGGGTAAGCAGTGTGTGCAAAACTTTCTGAAGCAGAGCTTCTCATGTAGGATGATGCGGATTGATCCCGATGGCTTTCATCAGCTGTGCCAATGTCACCCACGCATCCTCCTCTACCATCGCTTGCACAGTAGCAATGTTATCTGCTATACTGGCCTCCACAGATAGACTACACCGTGTCTCATCATCCGGGGACCGCCTGCCAAACTTGAATTCCGCAAACCACTCAGACACATTGCTCTTTGAAGGCACGTCATCACTAAAAGCAGCTCGCAAACTAACAGAACTCTGCTGCTGCTCTAAACCACATTTATAATTGTAGAAAATCATCGCCCTCAAATGAGTTAAATCCTAACAGTCCGAATATAGAGACCCTTATGACTTGTGAGCTGTGCTCGATTGTTCATATTTGATTCTGTGAACTGCAACCACTGAACAATATTCACAATAGATAACAGTTCATGTTTTCCTTGCTCGGTCATCTGTACCTCGTACGTGTACTGCGTAGCCAGAACCCTTTTTACTCGATCCTCGTATAACATTGCTGAAAATAGCACCGAAAACCTGAGTTTCTTTCATTATGTGGGTCCGCGAATTCCAAGCGAGGTACGTGGACTGTATTTACTCATGTGGCCAGGTCATAGAACCTTTGTGGCTATCAGAATTGCAACTAATTGAATCTACGGCTATCCGTATCTCGGTCGAATCGCGGTGATAGCGTACACCTTAGACCAGAAACATGATACTGGGCAGCAAAGATTAGACGAAAATGACGAAAGAAATCCACCAATCAAATTGCACACCAGTCTATCATGTCGGTCAAACGTAGGCGATGCCCTGGGCAAACGATGCACAAAAAGAATTTTCTAAATCAACCAACACCATCTTACAAATGAAAGTAGGCAATTTTCTCACGCTAATTGGACCAGGAAGTGTTCATATTGATACTGGACCCAGTTTAGGCAAAACGGCTAGCATTTCTTTATCTGTCTGCCTCTTGCAAACCTGCTCAGTTCAATTCCTAGCTCTGGTTGACTCCTGATTGGACTCTCTCCATTCGTTCTTCCCCATTCCAATCTCACCACTTCGATCAGCGTGCGTCCAAGATGGATCTGATGCTGAGGTAGTTTTTTCACTCAATACTTTTTAGGTCTACAGGCGTCTCAGTTTACAAGCACTCAGATAATCACAATTCAGACGAGAATTTCAGTCTACCTCGTTCAAAGTTGAACCAACCTCGCAAAGTGTTCAGTTCTTCATTCCGGACGGATTTCTTTTATCACAACCAGAGCTTTGATGCCAACAATGACAGGAATCTCAAACTGGATTGATTTATGGAAATAAATAAAGTAGAATAAAATGTTATCCGGGAGATAGCTAGATAGTGAATTTTGTCCGCGGTGAATTTCAAGCACCCAATGCACATAGTTTCAGTAAATTTCAACAGTGACCCATTTGATGCTCTTCGGGTGGCTTTGATTGTTTATATACTACCCTTCTGGTGTCCTGAGATCAGTTAATACCGAGCAATAAAAAATGGCGGGGTCTCATAAACGTGTTTGTTGGCATGATATTCTATTTGGATTAAGACTTTCCCCAGGTAAAATCGTGGCCGCATCCAGAAGGAGCGTACTTGATTGAATCTACCAGTGTCCTTCCCCAAGCTTTTCTTATCGTTCTGAACCTCCGATATGTCTTTTACCTTTCAAGATGTACACAGAGAAATCAAAGATGTCACTATCAGTAGTCCACTGTACCCGGTCCTGGTAGATAGATCGACTTATATCACATCATAAACAAGGGGTAAATAACATTCTGGAAGTAAGATACTTCAACAACACTCTTGTTATAAAAGAAAGCTAAAAAGAAGCTACGATGTTTATGTATGAACTCAATTGACTAAAGTAAAATATTCGGTTCATAGTGGAATCAGGAGTCAAAAACAGCCAACTTCCTTGACATTAGCATGACCGGAAAAGAAGAGGGAACAATTTTCTGCGTTGTTTATCGAAAGAAGACTCGGACAGACCAGGATTTACTCATCAAGAGCTTTATGCCCCTCCAGGACAAGTATGGTCTTGTCTGGACGTTATCTGACAGAAATAGGTGGATCTGTGTGAAGGACAGAATTAGGCAAGACATGTAAAACAATGCGGGAGATATTACTGAAAAATGCTCACTTTGCGGCGTTTGTCAATAGACACAGCAAACCAGAGATGATGAAGGTTACGATTGAGTCAGCTACAAGATTGCGAGCAACGCTATTCGATCTGCTTAAAGAACGACTGAGATGGGCAGTCACCTGCGCTTAACATGCAGTCGATCGCAGACAACCGCCAAAATATAGTCCGTCTCTTACGCCAACCTTGATCTGACCTATCGATCTATGAGAACCGAACTGAACGACGATTGTGTGAGTGGGTGTTTTAACCTATTCGTACTTCAGTCTAGAGTCAAAAGATGCAATCTAAATCAAGTTCGCTGCATACAAACGACAGTCGACACTGCAAGACCGTGTCGTCAGTCATACATTGGTATCTTCAGCTGACAGAACACCAGGTTGACCGAATCATGGTGCTCTGGATCGTCTTTGAGTTACAAACTGCAGGATTCGCTGAAATGAGTGCTATCAACTATTTGAAGTCTCACTCCCCTATGCCAACAGAAAGGGCCTAATGGTAGTCTGTCCTGGCCATGATGACATGGTCTTCTTTGTACTTTGTCCCCACTCCTTTCGTGCTAGTTTGTTCTGTTGTGATTTATTTACCTTTGTTACCATGCCAAAACCCTATATCAACAATATATTTGTTGAAGTAAGCACCATGTTGGGATGCAGTGAAATCGCCCAGGACATGAATCACGCAGTCCGACGTCCTAATGTTGACCGAAATACGATCATCGGACAACGAACTCAGTTTGCGATGGATCCAGAGACTTCATCGCCTTGTTCGCAGCATAAAACCTGTTGGTGAAAAATGGGAACCACATCGTACCGGGACCAATTGTGTATAGATCTGTCCCATCACCAAGATCTCCTGTTCACGATTACAAAAACCAAATAAAACGGATACAGACACCTCATTAACATGTGACCAACATACAAAAAAGTTTGTTGAAAGGAAATATTATGAGTATCGAATAAAAAACATTTGTTAGTAGTGAAAGCACCCCTTTTGTGGGATAGACTTTTTACAAGGCTTGATTGGTACTTTTGAGTAATTTGTTCCCTACAGTTTGTGGATAATCTTCTCAGTTTCCCTAGGATTTTAGAGCTCGCAGTATTTGACAGCTTTTTGTGTGAGATGATCCTACATGTATTCAATGGAACATGGATCTGCGAGTTAGCAGAACTCGGTATACAGCCAAAGCCACGATGTAGTTTAACTAGATTTCTCGGTGCTGATACCCTGTGGTGCTAGTGCACAGTAATATAAAAGTTGGTCTACTAACGGCCTCCATTACCCACTCAATACCTCCATACATTTAGCACCAGTTATGGTTCCGCACATGAAATAATAATCTCACCCGTTAGATTAGAACAACCAGCTTTCTTAATGTGGTTAGTAGGTATTTATCTGGTGAACAGCACATAAATCATAGTAGATGCTGAAACACATTCAGTTCGCGTGCGTTTTTTCACTGTTCAGGAATTCCCCGAAACCGGATGTCAGAGCTGGTCTAAGAGTTTCAATTTTCTCGCTGTTTTAGTGATCAGGTCGCAACACGATTTATCCGCAAAAGTCAAAATATCTCTCTTCGTGGCCTTCCCCGTGTCACAGAAGAACAGTTTATACCGGGAAGGTGATGGTATGCATCGTTTATCCATCATCATCATCATCATCATCATCATCATCATCATCATCATCAGTTCATCCAGTCAATCATACACTAGAAAGCTACAATAATCAGTTTCGCTCTCATCAGAGCTCATCAGTAATCCCTCCCGGTCCTTGAAATTCGACCCCATCTCATGGATGATGTGTGTATGTGTTAACACTGTGCTAGCCGTCCCTTATGACTACTCCCGTGAGTTAATTGCAAAGCACCAAATGATCTAGCAGGTTTAATTGGGACGGTGCACCCCGCTCCACCCTCAAAACAGATTTGTTGTAAGATCCTGATAGCTACCTAGAATTAGTGACTAGACATATACCATTAAGACCTTGTTATTGCGATGTATATTGTGCTTACAAATTGTATTTTCTGGAACACGATCAATTGATCTTCCCCCCATAGAGCAGATAATCCTGAGTGACCTTCTTTTGTCAGTTTTATGTCGTGGTTCATCTTTTGGGACTTTATTAACCAAGCACGAAGAATATCAGCTTTCTAGTTTTATCGATCAAAAATGATCACGTGGATCGATTTCGGAGATCCGACTTCCATGACCTGAAATAAATTTATTCGTTAAACGGTTAACAGATCACTGGGACGTATTGAACTGATAACCGGTTTCATCTTTCAGGCTCCTGTGTCTTGACAGTCAGTTCGAATTGGAATCGACCGCAACTTTTGTCCCCTAATATCATTTTCAGAAACATATTGAGAGAAATATTATTGACAGTAAAATTTATTCTAAAACACTTCGCAAATGGTTTCAAATGAACCATTTTACACGAAATAAATGCACAATTCCTGTGGATAATTTGTTCATCAGAAAATTAAACGCTGACTGTTGACTTCCAGTACGTCCAACGACTACAGCAAATGAGGGCATAACGATGAAGGGATGGACTACAGTAAATTGATGATATTCAACCCGGATAGCCCAATTAGCAGCCTCTCAAGCTCGGATTCAAACCCCAATGGATGCGGCAGATCTGTAATCATGGTGATTCCCGACAAGAATGAAATAGCCGTAGAAGACTTCTTTATTGGATAATTTGTTAGCCTGATATACCAACAGAACGTATTTCTTCTCATTCGAATCAAATTCATCGTGAACTAATTTACAATTTGCAGCAAAACCTCAAACACTGCTGTGGTTTCAACGCAGGAACACTCGTTCATTTGTCACAAACCGTAAGCTGCAACAGACAGTGAATAGGTGGCAATCAGAGCAAATAATGGCCTACCAAAAGCTTAAGCTAACGTAAGAAGAACGGTGAGTAAAATAAAACAAGATATTAACCAGATCCGAACTCCGTGTGCTACGTGAAACAAGGAGGGACTGGTAATGAAACGCAAAGCAAAATAAATACTACGTATCGACCGCTTGAATTTCGGCAGTCTGATTTCTCTAGAAAACAAAATGCATAATGCTCTGGTCTCATTTATCCACGTCCACCATCTAAAACTGTATTTGTCTTTAAATAAAGAAGCATATTTTT